TATACCAATACTTTCAGGATGGAAACACTATACTAAAACAGAAGTCTTCTTGCTCATTCAAGACCTACTGTGGAAATTACACTGATGTAATGCGTTATCCCAGGATAATTACTACACTCAGTTTTATTGCCCTTATTGTGAATTGGTACAATTATAGACTCCTTCCACTGACCAAGCAAGTCTTTCTTATTCCAAATAAAATTAATGAGTTCGTGGATCTCAGACCATAATATTTCACCTCCTGTTTGAATCAATTCTGCCAGAATTTGAATACCACCCAGTGATTTATACCTTTTCAATTTTGCAATAGCAATTTCAACCTCAGGTAACGACGACTCAGCTGTATGTATTTCTATCTGCCTAACATCACTTATCCTGTGTATATTCAATAACTCAGAGTAGTAGTTTTTCCCCTTATTCAAATTGTGGGAATCTGCAAGCAAATCATTCTCATCCTTTACTAAGTCACTTGTAGAGGCTGTGCCATAGCTCAAGCAATTAGTCGCTGGCTTCTCACCGCGGCGGCCCAGGTTCGGTCCCGGGTCTGGTCAAGTGGGACTTGTGGTGGACAAAGTGGCGCTGGGGCAGGTTTTTTGCAAGTACCTAGGTTTGCCCTGCCCATCTTCATTCCACCAATTGCTCCACAATCACCCTCACCTATCATCTGGGGCTGGTACAATATGCCAGAAGTGGCTGCAGCACAAGGGACTTAGTCCCACCCCACTAGCAGTAAAAAAAAAGTCACTTGTAGGTTGGTAACCCCTATTAGATTCTCTAATGTTCTTATTCTCATTGTTTGTTGCAAGTTCATTAATGTTGTCTTTTTATATGTGAAATGCCTGCTGGCTTCACATCTTAAATTATTCACATTATCCCCATTTATTTCACTTGGATCCTGTAACCACTGTAGTTTGGCTTGTTTCTTTTGATCTAATGATTTTGAACATCCTTCATCAAACCATGGCTATGCTTCTTCAATTCATAATAACTTAGACTCCCTTTGTCTGAAATTTTGATATTCTAATAGTTTCCAAAGCTCCACATCGTTGTCTTAAGTTTTCCAAAGATGTAAACCTGTTTGAGATTTGAACACAGTACTGCTATTTACCCACTACCTTGTTTAATTTCTTGAGGTTGAACTTCTCCATATGAACACTGTGTGTTGTTTGTTTAGTCACTGCCAGTCTGTTCCTAGCTTTTGCCACCACCCGATAGTGGTCAGCATCACAATCTGGTGCCCTGAACAATCAGACATCAAGTGCACTTGAATTCCATCTTCTGTCTATCAGAATATGGTCAATTTGATTGTGAGTCTTTCCATCAGGAGATGTTCAAGTAAACATATAAATGCTATCCTGTGAGAATATTGTACTTTTTACAGTCAGATTCTTGGATGTGGCAAAGTTTACCACTGTAACTCCATTATCATTACTAATTTCGTGCAGGCACTCATTCCCAATTGTTTTTTAAAAATGTCTTCTCTACCAACTTTGGCATTGAACTCTAACAAAGTTTTCATGAAGCATTTAGGGAATTTATGGAATATGTGTTCTAATTCCCCATAGAAGCTGGCCTTCATATCAGTTTTGTCCTCTGTTGGGCATGAATGTTCAGAATGATGATATCACACGATTGACCTCTTAGTATTATGCCATTAATTTGTTTATATTGTTTTGAACATAATCACACAATATAGAAACATGAAGAGTAAATTATGCACAATTGTAAAAAGATGTTCATTTCTCTATGTTCTCTGCACATGTATTTTAACACAAATATTATACTGGTGTGTATCTGAGTTCTAGCTTTTATCACACTCTGGTGATTAACCAAGAATGAAATTGTGAATTTTGAAATTTGAATGTTGTTGTTGTTGAACTCTTAAAAATATCTTTTGATTGGTTTGTTTTTCTTGGTTTGAAAGAAATATCCGACATTTTAGAGGATTTTACGGCTTTCATCTTTGTAAGAGAGGCAGTAATTTTCTCTGAAACATAAACACTTATCATTATAAGTGTTTATTATTTATGTTTATTATAATAGATATGCTGAAAATTATTTCAAACAATTATGACAGAATTTAAGGAGGGAAGTATTGCAAGATTTTCAATTGTTATTTGTTTTTAATTATAAAGTTTTATTCAATCTCAGTCAAAGAATATGCATGTGGATGCTGTAAGCATTCATATTTCCATACTTGTTTGTTTTTATAGTTTTGAATATGTCTTAATTTGTGGTGGGGAAATATTAGCCTGCATAGTCCATAATAACAAATTAATATAAATCTACATTAGGCCCTTTGCACAATTTAGCCAGGGAATAGGAATTTTGCATGTCTAATACAGAACATTCTTATTTGTGTGTGTGTTAACTTCTGTGTTCAGAATCTCTTACTCTTTAATCTTTTGGCGGGAGAGAGTGGCTGACCAACAAATTTTTCTACAGCGTCTAGCAGAGGTACTGCTGACGAAACTGCATGTGACGGACACTGGAGTGCTTAGTGGTAATATAGGTTAATTTCATTGTTGTGTCTGTTCATAAAATTATATTATGTCAATTGAGATGTATTAAATTGTACATTTGATGTTTGTTCCGAATGTGTGTATAGAAGATGATTATACAATAGATATGCTGTTTTATAAAGAATGTGAGGGTCATGTACTATTTACATGTGACATTTTGTCAGATCATATAGTAGAATGTAACGGTTTCTAACCATACATCTTAAGAACCTCTCAGGCTGTTATTAAATCTGATCTAAACAAGTTAAAATGGGTGGTCTGTATTTATACTTTCTTATTTTCTTTCTGATTGAGAAATGTTAGCACAATAATCATGTAAATTCAATTTGATTGTAACTTTTCTGTCAACATGAAGTTTCTACATATTTCATGTTACCCTGATTTCTGCTTATCCATGTTCTTAAATTTTATTTGGAAGTTGTTACCTTTGTTTATTTTAATTTGTATTTGCCACCCTTGTAATTTAGAACTTCTTATAGTAGATTGACACAAGTGGTAACACCTCTGATGCTTATTACATTAGCATGGTAACAAAAAAGGGGGGGCATGCAGTAGTGTAGTTGGTTGAGGCACTGTGCTACAAGCCGGAAGGTTGTGGTTTTGCGTCCCAATGAAGTGGATTTTTCAAGTTTACCTAATCCTTCCAGCCACACTATGGCCCTGGGGTTGACTGAGCCTCAAACAAAAGTGAGTATCAGGAATCTTCCTGGGTGGTAAAGGGCGGTCGATGTGTAAGGCTGACAACCTTACCGCCATCTGTGAGCTGATTGTATAGAGAAAATGTGGGAACCTCGACATCTCACAACCCTATGGTCCTTCACAGCCTGTTACAGGGATAGCTTTACCTTTAGCTGATAACAACAACAATGATTTCTTTTTGACTGGTAACTATTAGAAGTCTCTGAGTAAAATGAACCTTAATAATATATCGAAGAATGATATTCTTACTGTCAAAAGTACAATGTTCCCACATCGTAACATCCATAAATTTACTTGGACATCTCCTGATGGGAAGATACACAATCAAATAGACCATATTTTGATAGATAGGCGATGGCACTCAAGTATACTTAATGTCCGATCGTTCAGAGCAGCAAATGGTGACACTGACCACTACCTGGTGGTGGCAAAGGTTAGGGAAAGACTGGCAGTGAGCAAACAAACAACACACAGAGTTCATATGGAGAGGTTCAATCTCAAGAAATTAAATGAGGTAGAGGGTAAAGAGCAGTACTGTGTTGAAATCTCAAATATGTTCACGGCTTTGGAAAACTTAGGAACTGAGGTGGATGTTAATGAAGCTTGGGAAACTATTAGAGAGAATATAGAAATACCTGCCAAAGAGAGTGTAGGTTATTATGAACCGAAGAAGAATAAGCCATGTTTCGATGAAGAATGCTGAAAACTATTAGATCAAAGAAAGCAGGCCAAATTGCAATGGTTGCAGGATCCAAGCAAGTTAAATGGGGATAATCTGAACAATATAAGATGTGAAACCAGCAGGCATTTCAGGAACAAAAAGAGGGAATACCTGGCGACATGGCAACAGGGAAGCGAGGCGCTTTCCGTTGTCTGGCTGAGGGTTTATAAGAGAACTGCACAGCCACTGGAGACAGTTGAATGGCTTCACCAAGATGCAGTTGAACAGCAATTGAGATAATGAATTGTATAAGATTAAGATTGTATAACTGTGGAGAGCGAATGTGCAATAAATTCGCTATATCCAATAAGGCATGAAGTTATTTGTTGCGTTATACACCCAACACATGAAAATTTGAAGAAGACTTGTAGCCACATTGTTAGATTTAACCTTTTAGTTGTTTTTGATGAGGTGTCTCATGCGATTTGGGTGAGATAGCCCATGAGCAAAGTCTGTTTCATCTGTGGAACTTCTTTGAACTGTGTTCAAAGTGTGAAGTGGTGTATAGCAGAATCTTTTTAAAAGAGCAGGGAATTTTGCTTAATTGGTTGCTTGCATTGGGTTCATGGACACTGGAAACAATGTGTTATATGAAATACCTTTGTAGTAATAGCAGTGGAGTTGATTTTACTATAATTTAATTGAATGTGCCCAAAAATGCATGATTTAGTGGTCTCATTAACTTATGGCTGTCCATTGGGTTATTTCAGGTTTTAAGTTTTTCTCTTAGTATTATTTTTGTATGTGTTGAGAATTTGCATGGTGCATATCACTTGAATTCTGTAATTTTATATTTTCAGCATATTTCTGCTGCCCTACTGAGATGGTCTGAATTAACTCCTCAAGCATTCTGGGTGCTGGGTGACTCAGCTTATGGTTGGGGAGAGAAACCAGAACCACTTTCTCTTCAAGACCAATGTTTTATTTATGTGGTGATTGTGTCTGTATGCCTGTAAATGTATAATATTGTACAAGGCATTTATAGTGAAAACATTCATTTACATAATGAATTCTGATAATGCTTTTAATAAATAAATTACCAAACCAATATGTTGCAGTTGCGATTGATCTCATTGTTCAGCACATTCGTGATTTTTTGAATAACCGGGTGAAAGTGGATGAACTCTCAGTTCCTCCATCGCCTTCTCCATCGCCTGTTCATGGCTCACGGCGACTCAACACAGCTGATGGTCATTTCACACGCCCACACTAACCATCTTAGTGTAGTATTTGGAAGTCAGCTGCTGTACTGTGTTATAAGATGCCCAGATACTTCTTTCATACGGGCCATCAGTAGGTATGTATATTGCAAGTATCTGGTAACTGCAGGATAAGGTTCCATTATATGTGATCGAAATATTTTCATTCTTATTTTTCCTTTATGCTTACTGTATCTAGCAGGTATACAGTTATGTCCCCTTTATAATACTGTAGTTTCTTTTGTGACTTTCTGCAGCAGTTCTGCCATTGTTGGAAGCAGCTATACATATTTTTGTTTGATATCAGTGATATCATTGACTACTACCACTGCCAGAACCCCCCCCCCCAAATCTGCTTTTGAAACTTACCATTGACACTACAGGAGATTCATCAGTAGTACGTCAACTCACCAAATAATAGATTCTGATATGTGCTTCTGTTCATTGCAGCTTCAAAAACAATTCAATTTTATTTTGGGTCTCCATTAAAGATTACTGGGATGTTTTAAAGTTATACTCTGAAAAATTGAATCCTTAAAAAAACTTTCTCTCAAACCAAGATACATATATGTTATTTGATGGATAAATTAATACATACTACCTGTAGCTGAAGTTTGAAAACAGGATTGAGCTATGCTGGCCTGGATCTGGGGACTGGAGAGGGTGGCAGACAGCAGTAGCGCAGTTTCTCGGTAGAAAGTCATGCACAGACAAAGCAGAGTAACAGCATTTTTATGACCAAGAAACAAATCTCCAATAAGCCAGTTTGATGAACATTTCCACCATAAATGTTGGAGATGCTGCAGAACATCTGTACAGAAACGTTGATCCACACTTGGTCCGTATGAAATGAGCTATTCCACCTTTTCATCAGAATGAAGAATATTCAGCATCTTCAGCAAAAAATTTCAAAAACCAATCATATACTTGAGTTTAGCTTATTGTTTCGCTTTCAGAATCAAGTTTTAGTGTGCTATAGGTTTCTGTAGTGATTCTGCATATACTTTGACACAGAATTTGATGCATACAGATGCAGTGTGAATGAAATCTTGTATTTTTTTTAATCCTAATATGCAAATAACATTAGACAGGGCCTTACTTCACAAGTTGTCATTCCTGTACTAACTATAGCAATGTTACCATGAAGTCAGTCTGGAAATTATTTAATCACATCTTATGCTTTTATAAGGGTTTATTATTTATTTCAGATGTTTCACCTGATGCATGCATTTGTGTGTGTGCCATTTATGCAATACCAGATTTGCTGTCACTTCTTTCAATGTGTATAGTTTCTTTGTTGTTTATATAATTGCTTTATGTTGTCATGTAATCATGACATGCACATATAGTGACAATGCCTCCATGTTTATTGACAGAAATTGATTGAATTTTTTCTTTGATTTCAGAAACAATTTTAATGCACATAGATGAAGTGTCAGAGATGAAATCACGTGCTTCTGAGCTGTTGTGTATATAATGCTATTTGTAAAATTACATCAGGTTCTTATTATTAATTAATAGATTCAGGAGTGTTGTTCATACATGTGGCTTACAGTTTCCATGGTTTGTGTTCCAGTCAAGTTTTAAACATAATTATGGTAATTTACGATTTTTAAACACGAGAATATTGGGGATATTATATATTCTTGATTTTGAAACTCAGATTCAATTTTTGTGTGTCTAAAACTGTTTCAGAAAATTATGAATGTATTTTATCCAAGGAAGGCATGCCGCAGATTTTGTGCAGAATTTGTAAGATGTCCTATTTGGAAGTAGAATGTGTTTTACTGAGAGTAAGCTAGCAATAATGAAAGTAGTTCTTGGGTTATTCCTGAATGTCATAAGACATTCTATTTGAATATTAACAGTAATTTTAAAGCTGTGAAATAATAAATTGTATTGAAAAAGCTCTGCCAAATGCCATTTAAAAGCACCTTCATTGTGATTTAAAGTTGAGGGTGTAATTATTAGGTTTAAGAACGGAATGTGCAGAGAACCGCAGAATCTGCTTTTAAAACCTGCTCTTGGCAGTTTATACATCAACAGTGTTGTCATCTTATTGTGTTGTATGGGTTATGATGCTCTGTGCTTCTGCTCTTTATACTTTCAACGGCATTTTGATTTAATTGTGTGTTTCCCATGAAAAAACTGGAACATTCTGGGATGTTCTCAGGATTATATTTGAGCACTGTAAGATTCTCTTCTCTTTCAAAGCTGTGGTAACACATGCACACAGAGTATACTCCAAATTATCTGTGAGCAGATTATGTTCTTTGCAACTTACCCACGTTCCTTTTAGGAGCACTTGCACCCCTGTGGAGCTCCTGTTAGGTTCACTTCGTCCATATTTCTGTTCATGAAACAAGTCAAAAACTGCTGGTTGGATTTTAATGAGGCATTTACAAAGAATTGTTAAGTGGTTTAACTGTTTAATTAGTTTTTTTAACAGCCACTTTATGTGAAGACCTACAGGCATATATGTGCATATCTTGAGCAGAACTTGCTAAAAGTACTTCAAATGAAATTTGTAGAGGAAAACAAATCACACATTTTATATGCAATACATTTTTTCATAAGTCATATGTTTCTTAGATAAGTGGAAAATTGGACATTATGCATTCATTTTCATATTTCCATATTCAACAATCACCTTGGTCTCCCAGCCACACTGGAAACCTGGATTATCCATGAGGAGTTGTCTTGTGGGATCTAACACTGTGTAGTCCACTGAAAGTCTTCAACCCTCAGGATGGAGGCTACATATTCCTCTGAAATGTCAGTTGGCTTTCAACAGACTACATGGCATTATATCCCAGAAGATAGATCTCTTCATAATTACTGCTCTGAGAACCTCAAATCCTACCTGGATTATTCATGTGTCTTTTTCCTTTCATTAGAATGGATAATCAGGTGCATGCTGTATGAATGTTATTCAATAATATGTAGGGCTGGAAAGGAGTATGACAGAAAACAGACAAAGTTTATAGTACAAATAAGGAGACTTCCTACAGAATTCTTTCAATCTTTTCCTCTGGTTTAAGATCATTGACTTCTTTTTTGATTTCAAAATAAGAACAAAAGATAATATTGTTGAAAATAGTAAGATAAATTTTGTCAGAGTATTGTCAATTCAATGGGCTGCCGTAACCAGGCAGGTAAGACACCGGAAAATGTAAAAGTAAGAAACTTCTTTCACAGAGCCTTATTTACATCAACTTTTTTTATGTCCAGAATACTGTAACTCTGGTGATAGGCCTGACAGTTATTCATCATGAGAGGAATTTTTGGATGGTAGTTTCTGGCACCACTTCTGACAGTGTAACTGCTCTTAGTAATGCAAACATTAATTAAAGTTTGAACCCCTTTACTCAGGGCTGAAGTTTGGTTAACTTAAATGCCCTTTATGCATTATTGGTTAGTACGTTGAGTATGTCAGGGGAATTAAATATACTTGGTGCCATGGTCAGTTCTTGGGGTGGGGTGAGACTGAGTCCACTTGGTACATTAGTCACTAATTGGCCTGTTGCACCAGCCCCAGATGATAGATGCTGGTGAATGTGGAGCAGCTGGTGGAATGAGAATTGGCAGGGGAACCAAAGCACTCAGAGGATACCTTCCCAGTGCCACATTGTCCACCACAAATCCTGCATGTCTGGCCTTGATTCGAACTCGGGTTGCCTCAGTGGAAGCCGGCAACTCACTGCCTGAGCTATGGCACAGCCTGCCATGGTCAGAATAGGTAATTATTCTTAATTAGACTATAATCTTCTGTTTGAGATTTAGCCAAGGATTAAAAGTGAGAAATGTTTTAGCATCAGTGGTAATAACAGAATGACATGACAGCAACTTTGAAATTCAGTTGGAACATTGTTTCTTACACTTGTCACAGATGGTATGCAAAAAAGAAAAAGTACCTTTTTTTATGGAATGTTAAAATACATGTTGCAGAATAATTTGAATTTATTTTTATTGTTCTTTGTTAGTAACATCAGCTACAATACAGTTTAGTGTTTCTGGCCCTGAAGTGCCACATTCAGATTAATCTAAATTTTTCTACAGTTTTTCTCTTTTCACTTGTAGTTAACAGTATAATTCAACAGCTGACCTGAGAGCAAGTTTTAGTTGTGTGCTGTTAACATCAGAGCGTTTCAATTTATATTACGTTTGTAATGTCCATTCATTTAACATTAGACCTATATTGCTGACAAAGACTCATTTCCTGCACATGTATAGCTGCCCTCCTGTTGAAGCAAGGTGTGTGTTTTAACTTAATTATTCTTACTGTTTAGCCACTGGGGACTTCTCATGTCAGCTATGTGGCCACTGTGGGTATAGGTTCTACATGATCTTTGAGTTAATGTGGTGGCTGGATATTGGTCTCTCTCTGTGGGGCATTATGTAACCAGTGTGGATATCTCAGTCCAGCTGTGAGGCACTATATAACCAGTGTGGATATCTCAGTCCAGCTGTGTAGCCACTTGTATAGGTTCAGCTGTGAGGCACTATATAACCAGTGTGGATATCTTAGTCCAGCTGTGTGACCACTGATACAGGTTCAGCTGTGAGGCACTATATAAACAGCGTGGACATCTCAGTCCTGCTATGTCACCACTGATATAGGTTCAGCTGTGAGGCACTATATAAACAGTGTGGACATCTCAGTCCAGCTATGTCACCGCTGATATAGGTTCAGCTGTGAGGCACTATATAACCAGTGTGGATATATCAGTCCAGCTGTGAGGCACTATGTAAACAGTATGGACATCTCAATTCAGCTGTGAGGCACTATGTAAACAGTATGGACATCTCAGTTCAGCTGTGAGGCACTGTGTGACTTATATGGATGTAGGCCTCATTCCAGCTGTCAGATACTATGCAGCTATTGTGGATATTAGTCTTGCTACAGCTCTAATGCACTGTGACCATGTGGATGTCCCACTCAACCTGTGTGACTGCTGTATATAGAGATATCACTTCAGCTGTGAGGCACTGTGTGATCAGTTTTACTCCAGCTGTGAGGCACTGTATGGCCACTGTGCAGGTGTGTTCCACTCCAACTTTGAGGCAGTGTGTGGACACTGCATGTAGATCTCACTACAGCTATGAGACACTGTGTAGCCACTATGCATGTAGGTTTCATTGGTGCAAATAGTGGACCTTCCATATAAACATCTCAGTGGACAAGTCTGTGAGTTGCCTGTTTGTATCTGTAGTAATGGGGATTGAACCCATGACTACAACACGTTCCTTTATAAGAGATGTCCTATGGATCTAGTATACATTTTACCTTTAGCCCTGTTTTGTACTCTCAATCTCAGCCCATCTCTAGCTGTCAACATCCCCTTAGTGTTCAACCCCAAGAACAGCTTGCCATGGTTTCTGTTTTTACCATCAGAGCAGGATCCTTACTGTTCATCAGAGAACATATGATTTGTCTGAAATTTAGATAAATTTGGGAACTTTATGCATAAAAAATGCTACCAAATTTGAAAGTAAGTATTCAGTCTTGTATATATTGTAGATTTAAGTCTTTTGACAATATGTCTTCTGTGTCTTACCAACATCTGCCAGAACTTTTATGTTCACATATTATTTTGTTGCGTAAAACAATAACTTTTTCTGATATGTCTCTTAAGCATGCCATTTGAAGGATCTTATTTGGTAACATATCAGGGTACGTTCTCTGACATGAATTATCATATTATATATCATAGAATTGTGCCATTTTACTTGTTTATTTATT